TATCCCCACCGGTAAAAAACTTCTTCTAAGAACGTTAATATGCTTCTGGTTCGGACCTCTGGGACTGCCTTGGCTGCGACTCATTTTGTACAAAGGTCTGTGATAACAATTATGAATTTATTCTTCCGTCTCGTTATCGAGTAAGGGCCCATTACATCTAAACTTATAACTTGCCATGCCTTCTTGGGAGGATGTAGTCTCAACAGAGCTCTTGCTTGCGTCGTGCCTCCACGCTTGGATGATGCACAGATCAATGGGTCTTAATTTGTTTGCCTACAGCCGGCCAATAATATAACTCGGTAACGGCCTGTAATGTCCCCTCAGGGCCAGGGTGATCAGCAGATGGGGAATCCTGATAATGATAGATTACTTTCTACCAGAAATTAAGTAGAACTACCAATTGCCTTCGAGAATTTCGAACATACCAGATCAAATCATCTTCTACGCGGTAGTCGTTTAACAATGTTTTCTGCCAGTTTTCCTTAGCCTTTTCTTCCCCCGTCTTGAGCCGGTGCCATCTAGCTCGAGTAGCTTGATATTCGGGACTCTGGGTTTGCGCAGCTATTATGTCATCATACAATGATGTTCCCGGTAGCTCCAATTGCTGCAACTGTATAGGGTTGATTCTTGTAATAAGAGTGCGTACCTTGTTAACTTCGCTATATCGTCTTTATATTTACTCAACCACAAGAGGGCACTACTATCAGTCCCCAACTTGAAAGGGTGATCTTCCAGCAAATCCCGGTAACATTTACAAGCCCATACCACCGCAAGCACCTCCTGTTCATTACAGTGGTATTTACGCTCGGTGGCGGCGAACTTGGCATTCACGCAAGATAAAATACGTCGTTGTCCACCACGATCCTCCTGGTAGAGAACAGCTCCCATACCCAGGAAACTTGCATCGGTCTGCAAGATCATACCCATATCTGGATCCGGACGGCTTAAAGTTAAAGGTTTCGATAGTGCTTCTTTCACAGCGTGATATGCTTGCACTCCCTGTGATATCCATAAGAATTGCTTTTTTCCAACGAGATCACTTAAAGGAGCGGCCACCATTGAAAAATTATTAGGCACGTAGTCTCGTAGCCAATTGGCTGTCCATAAGAAACTCTGTAATTCCTTTCGCGTTTTAGGAGTAAACCGTAGACTTGAAGACGCTCCAGGACTCGTCGAAGATGTTACATATGTTCTTCTGGGGTATGGGGATAGATAATTATGTCGTCGAGGTAGACGTGTACGAAATTATCAATGAAGCCTTCTAACACCTCCGCCATGAGTTTTTGAAACATCGACGCGGCACATTTCAACCCGAAAGGCATCACCATAAATTCGTGCTGAACGCAGTTAACGCTCTACTATCTAGAACAATTGGCACCTGCCAATATCCGCTACGCAAGTCCAGTGAACTGAAGATCTTGGCGGGGCCCATTCCCCGTAGGATATCCCGGATAATAGCTAACTGGGTCACTTCGTCTTCAGTGGCTTGATTTAATTGTCGGTAATCGACACAAAACCTAATAGTGCCATCACATTTTGGCACGAGTACTATTGGAGAGCTATACGCAGAGTGACTCCGTTGTACTATTCCAGCGGATAACATTCTTTGAATCTCTTCGCGGATCACTTGTCTTTTCTTGGGGGAATATTGGTAACACCTGACTCGGAATGGCTTATCTTCTCGAAGTTTAATTTTGTGGGTTACTAATTTGCTTTGTGGTTGATGTAATCCTTGCTGAAACATGCTAGCGAAATCACTTAGCACGGCTTCGTACACTGCTCTATCTTTATCGGAGGTATTATTATCGGTCAATTTTACATGCTCTTCCAGTGGAAGTGCGTAACCTATTGCTTCCCATTAGATCACCTTACGTATTGTCTTTCCAAAATACATTCCACGCAAGGGAACGTCTATCGTTACCTCTTCTTTCCAAGACCAAGTCTTCATTAAGATGTTTTACTATGGAGGGCTGGACTTCTACGGCGATTTCGGTCAGATATATTGCCATCTGTATGGGTCCTTTAGCTTTAATAATTTTTCCGTTACTTAGCCAAGTAAACCTCTCGTTCGGAACTGTCACTTTTCTCCTGACGATATCCTTCCTTCACGAAAGAGTTGGTCGCGCCGGTGTCTATCAGCACTGTTACTTCTTTATTTTCACATATTGCCTTAATTCTAGGTAACAGATGTTTTTTTTGTATAGTTTGCAAAGATCCCAGTTCCTCCTGGACCAGGGAGGCGGATTGTGGACCACCCCGATCCTCTAAGCATTTCCTGGGTTAATTCCCGTTTCCGGGGCCGGAAGTGCTCGTAATATAGGTTCTCTGGGTCGACGTGGACAGTTTCGATGTAAGTGGTTCTCACCACAAAATCTACATGGATAAGGTGTGTCTTGTAGGCGAATTGTTCTCCTAACTTCATCTCTTGGTTGTCTTGCTTCTTGAGGTCTTAAGTCTGCCAAAGTTTCTTCCACTTCAGTCGTAAGTTTAGATAAGTCGTCGATGATGTAGATTTCTACTCCCACCAATTGAATTTTGATCTCTGGCCTTAATAACAGTCGCACCATTTGAGACTCTGTAAAACCTAACTCCAACCTTCGGAATAATACAATTTTCCGTGCTATAAATAGCATTGCTTCTTCAAATTCTTGCCTTTTACTAAACAAATCAGCCTGTAACTTCATTCGCACATTAACATTGTCGTATCGGTCTAATATTCGTTGTCTGCACTCGTAGTAGTTCCATCCCAATTCCAGATATTTTTCATACCACTGACCCGCCTCACATCTTAGCTGATCTTCCGCGTATCTTGCCTATTCATTTGGAGAGATCTCTTCACTCTTGAAATACTCCACTAAATTTTGAAAGAATCTTTTTGGGTTTTCCCAATCACGTCCGCTGAATGTGGGTAATAAGATCCATCCCCTTTTCCCTGGATTCCGCAAAACGTCGGTAAAAACTCTTAAGGCCTTTCCCAGTGTTCCTGTGATTCTATTTTCCAGTTCCTGATGTATATTTGTCGATTGATTTAGGCGCCACTGGGTTTTAATTGTTTCATCCCCGCAACCCAGAATCGGGGTCAAATCTTTAGGTTCGTTTTCACTGTCTAATAAACTTTCCTCTTCACCTACTGGGCCGTCTAACTGCGGTCGGAAAGCCTGAAACCGTATCGCAGGGTCGCTGTTCAAACCCAAAAGTGATCCTCCGCTACGGGGAGCACTGCTCGCGACTCTCCCTCATCCTGGGATTTCCTAGGAAATCTCAGAAAACGGGGTTTAATCCAAAGATACGATGGAGGCCAAAAATTCTCGCTCGAGAACAGTAATGTCTTCCTCTCCTCTCTCCATCGTCTCAGTACCAGTCTGAATACATACACTAAGTCAACGTTAAACTTGTATATTATAGCAAAATACAACTTGTTTAATAATCTGGTGTCTATTTTCTCGCACAAACCTTTTTGAAAAAAATAATTTCCAAAATTTTTTGACTGACGACTTTTTCTGTCAAGAAATCAAAACCCTCTTGTCATTATAAATCTCTCCTGTTTGGCCGTTTTTTTTTTAGGAAAAAAGCCAACATCCTGCGATAATATATACAAGGTGTTAACGAAATAAGTACTCAAAATTTGAAAGTGTTTAAAACATGTCATATGATGAAAACCTTAGTTGAATTTTTGTCAGTGGCGACTCCTAAGGCAGATACGGTCCCTTGAAGGGGTAACTCAGGAAACAGTTTTTATTACATAAATTCAAAACGGTTTAATATTATATCACGAAATTTTGGGATTGTATTGCTATTTGTACGCTTAATAATCGGTATAATATACAAATCAAAATTTGCTACACGGGCGTAAGAAACTGCGGGACCATGTGGCAAATTTTACAATTTTTTTGTTTACATAATTTTTTCTAGTTCCTGAACCGAAACATTTTCGTTAGCCATGGAACGATCCACTCTATCTTGTAGGGTTAAATCCACTGCTGTATGCACAGCTGTGGTTGGGAGGCTCGAAATCGGTCGCACAGGTAAAAAAATTGTAAAGGGTGGTGAAAGTTAAGTTTCCACCGCACTCCATAGATCATCAGACGTTCGTTCCTGGGCAGCTCGTTATGACTTTGCTGCTCGAATTGGAAAGATAGGTGAAACCCTCAGAACAGGTATTACGACAATAACCTAGTATACATAGAATGTAGTAATACGAGTTGCAGATTATATGTTTCGTTTTTGCTTATTTTATTTAGTTTATTTAGTTAGTCTTTTTCTTATATTTCTAAATACTATTATTATTACATCTAAGAATCTCTAATTTAGATCGTTTGTTTTCTTTTTTTTTACCGAGTAAAATATGTGGTTTCAACGCCTCTATTGGCGACTACCTGCTAAATGGATTTGAATGGAAACTCGTTGAAACCATACGCTATCTATTGTGCTTGTCACTTTTGTTTCGCTATTAAACTCTGGTATTTTGATTAAGAATCCGGCCAGTATCGGCCCAGGAATTACTTTCCCGTATTAAGTGCGATTGTGTAAAAACATGCTATTTTAAAGAAAACCGCGGACCATTTTCTCTTAATATTTTCAGTTATTTCTTTAACAACAATTAAAATAATATGACATTGAACCAGTAATAAAAATACAGTCCATTTCAAATCAATCACTAGGATTATCATTTCATTGTCAGTATCCTTATTATCACTATTATTATCATCATCATTATCATTGTCATTATCATTATTATTGTACGTGTTTTATGGCATAATACATATTTGTTTATATACAAGGCAACACCACAAAATGTTTGTTGTGAATAACTAACGAATGGAGTGATTTATTATTATTGAAATAAAAAATTAATAGAATAAAGTTAATTTAGTTTTCTGTCTCGATACTTCTTCGTTTTTTCTGTTTATCATTAAAATTACCAGTTTTTGTTATTTAAATTTTTTTCTAGTGCATATTATTGCTTAGAAATACATACAAAATCAGAATTTATTGCTTACCTGTAATTAATGTAAGTGCACATAGGCATGCAAAAGCGGATATGTCTATTTCCATTGAATGTAATCCTGCACAAAACTCCATAATTCCATGTAACCAATCTCCAAACGATCGCTGACATTGTTGTATATCTAGCACTACTCCATTGCAAAAAGTCAGTTTAGTATCATTAGGACGGGTACGATAGGCTAATCTCAAAACGAATAGTTCCAAAGATGCAGACTGGAATAATAGTTCTCGATCTTCAGAACATATTTCTAAGAATCCAGGTATTTTGTCAGCAAAATTTTTAATTACATCTACTGAAGTGGTCAGTAAGGTGTAAAACTGTTGAATTTTATCGGCTTCTGAAATATTTGGTTCTATAGGAGACGGTTCTAGGTATTGAGAGTAATCTAAATTGGCAAGATCTGGAGTTGTGTCAACATATGCTCGAACTAAAGCAGTTATAAGAGACACTGGAGGACTTGGTGGTGATTCCTGGGGAGATTTTGGTTTGGAAGGTAGCCTGCCTCGTCTACCTTTAAGGGAATCTGTTCGAACTACTTCCTTCACCATACCAACTGCTAAGCACTTTTGAAATCTACAAAACTGGCACCGATTTCGCCTACGCTTATCAACAGGGCACGCTTTATCCGCCAAGCATACATATTTAGAACCTTTTTGCACAGTACGTTTAAAAAAACCTTTGCAACCTTCACATGTACGAACTCCATAATGTTGACATGCAGCAGTATCTCCACATACAGCACATAATTGGGAAGGTGAAGAAGGAGTAGGACCTTTGGATGTTGAAATTTGTTCCGGCGGGCCACCTGGACTGCTAGCAGCAGAAGAACACGCCGAAGGTGCATGTCCCAATCTTAATTGTGGACTTTCACTACTGCTTGTCGATTCAGACCGTTGTAGGGGTAATGAAGCTCGACGTTGCCTCGGATTTTGTGTTGCGATGTGCAATTCTGATGTTTGGTAAGGTGGTAGCGAATAAGATTCTTGAGATAATGAAGCATCAAAGCTGGAAGTGCACATTTGAGGAGAAGGATAATAAGGATTTGTTGTTGAAGAGTATTGTAATTGTTGATAATCATAATGCGAAAGAGAAATATTATGAGGTGTTGTTTGTTGATGATATGAAACACTGAAGCACTCCTCATCCATTTTAACGGTTGCTGAATTTGGTGCTTGATAACGAACTGAGTAAGTTTCTTGAAAACTAGGGAGCGGAGCTGGTGAAGAAGGTTGTGATTGAAGCGCTACTTCAGCGAAAGGGTCGATGTCCTCGGAGGCTAGGGCGCCACTAGGATCATCTGAATATGGCGCATTTAGCAGATCCGCAAAACTGCTTGAACCAAAGGGGGCCTGAAACAAATGATAACGCAATTTTATTATTAACAACACTGAAATTATACAATACAACATTTTTTACAGTTTTATTATTCACTATTGACTACACTATACACTATTTGTGTATTAAGAGCGCAAAGTGATATATTGCCTCTCTGAGCCAGAAGTTTGACGCGCTCCGCTACGCGTCGCGAAAGCGGCAATGTCACTTTGCGTTCGAATTACACACATGATTTTTTCTACAACCGGTATTTTTATAAAAATGTTTCGTAAAAATTAATAATTATTGATAACCTTAAATTTGACAGTTTAGATTTCAAAAACGTGAGCATCACTTTGCGCTACACATGTGTTTTTGTTAAAATGGTAGTTACTGCAAAATAAATATAAAAAATTGCTTTAGTACCTATTAATTATTTATTTAAATACTGGCATCTTATGATTTACATCTATGTGTAACAAAATATACATGTTTTTGGAATTCTTCTAACACTTCCTCCTTCTTTAGTGGTGAAAAGCAAGACCTATTAAGTGTCTGCGTTTGATGACATATATCGGGCGTTTCACGTCAACGGGCACAGTGAGCTGCCCAGAATAAAAATGCATCAATATTGACGTTCGACGTGTCAAAAGCTTCGTATTTAAAAACTCTATCGAATGCCGTCTGGTGATTTTAAAAAAACATCATGGCGGTTCCAATATGGCGTCCGCAATCATGGAAAATTCTGTTTAATGAGCATTATTGATAGATAAGAAACATAAAAATACTGTTTTGTAGGCTGAATCTATACGTTTTTGGGGTTGCTGATTTCGAATTTAATATTCGTTAAACCCCATCTAGTCACTGTTCATCCCTAATCTCAAAAATACTTCAAATCGTTGAAATAAAGCGTTTCTACTATGAGTAACCACAGTCTAACCACCACAATATATGTTTTCGGGTTCGCTGAAACCAATTCTGATATCAATATAACTTCANACTATTAGTCCCTAACCTTAAAAATACTTCAAATAGTTGAAATAAAGCGTTTCTGCTATGAGTAACCACAGTCTAACCACCACAATATATGTTTTCGGGATCGCTGAAACCAATTCTGATATCAATATAACTTCAACTAGTCAGAGTTCGTCCCTAACCTCAAAAAAGAAGCGCAAATTGCTAAGATTACACTTTTCCACTTTTAGGAATGAAGTGTAACCAACATATCTTTATATTTTTGGGGTCACTGAATCGAATTCCTACATCCGTTTGAACCCAAATATACTCCGCGGTCGAAATTATAGAGAGTGACTCAGACATAATATAAAAACACTATTACCATAATGCGTATAAAATATAAAATGATTTTTATACGGTTCAATATTATTTATCTTTGTGCCGCTCGCTATGCATATCGATATAATCTATACTCGTCTATAGACTAAGTTACACTAAACGTCGATCTATATTCTATCTCTGTCTTTTGCACTTGGTAGGGAATAGTGAAATGCTTTTTTAGTGGATGTAAACGGATTTGATTTATCCGTCCTGAGAAACTTCATAGCATAAGCGTAGACGAGGGGTCTAATTCCATGGCTATAATAAATTTATAAATTAAAAAAAACACAACTGGGACGTTTTAAAATGCTGTAATAATTGAAATGAATCAGTGCCGGTTATAGCAAACCGTAAAAAAATATTAGATGTTATGTTTTATTATCTTTTTTCAATATTTTCTATATCTTGTTGCCTTTTACGCAGACACGCCAATAGATTTTCGTTCCCGGCACGCTTCATCCCCCTTACTAGTCCAAAAGCTAGCGATGAGTCACTCTCTATAATTTCGACCGCGGAGTATAGTCATTAGTCGTACCTAACCTCAAAAAATATTCCAAATCACTAAAATGACACTTTTTCTGGTTGAGTTATAAAGTCTGATCACAATATCACCAAAATCGCTTATAATCTATTACAGGTAAAGAAATTAAAGTTGATTATTATATCCGATTTATCTGTTATTTACAAAAGTTACCCCCAAGCCGTATCACTTCTCTAACCCTCTCGTGGTAGTTCCAATATGGCGCCTGAAGATACACATAAAAAACACGAAATATTGGATAGCATCACTCAAACGCTACTATTTTTCAAAAAGTCTCTGGTGCGCTGACACTTTGATTAGGGTTTTGATCAAACCATTTTAATTTCTGAGTTCATTGACTGAATCCACATACTGAAACAAATTTCGAAATAGTATTTGCCGAATTGATTAAGGCTTACATAAGAATTAATTCCGTCCTTTCAGTCCTTTCGATATTTTTAAATTCAACAGGTTAAACAATATATGCTTTTTGTGTTTAATCGGGTTGAGGCCGTTATCATGGCTAAGACATAAAGTCTGTAATACCTTTTCTTTAGTATAATATGCAGAACTTCTAAAAAGGATTTGTTCTTTTTATATGGAACATACCTTTCATCATATCACATGCTCGTTTGGAAAAAAACATAAAAATATGGTGGTCGCACTTTATAACTATTATAGCTTTTGAGGTTAGGTACGACTAATGACTAGTTGGGTTCAAACGGATGTAGGAATTCGATTCAGTGACCCCAAAAATATAAAGATATGTTGGTTACACTTCATTCCTAAAAGTGGAAAAGTGTAATCTTAGCAATTTGCGCTACTTTTTTGAGGTTAGGTACGAACTCTGACTAGTTGAAGTTATATTGATATCAGAATTGGTTTCAGCGATCCCGAAAACATAAATTGTGGTTACTCATAGTAGAAACGTTTTATTTCAACGATTTGAAGTATTTTTAAGGTTAGGGACGAACAGTGACCAGATGGGGTTTAACGAATATTGAATTCGAAATCAGCAACCCCAAAAACGTATAGATATGGTGATTCAGTCTACAATACAGTATTTTTATGTTTCTTATCTATCAATAATGCTCATTAAACAGAATTTTCCGTGATTGCGGACGCCATATTGGAACCGCCATGATGTTTTTTTAAAATCACCAGACAACATTCGATAGAGTTTTTAAATGCGAAGCTTTTGACACGTCAAACGTCAATATTGATGCATTTTTATTCTGGGCAGCCCACTGTGTCCGTTGACGTGAAACGCCCGATATGTAATACTTTGATGCGATTTTATTCAGTCTTCTTCTGGGAAAATAATTATATTTGGTCGACATTTGTAGTAAACTTTTTTGAATCTTCTTAAACAAACCATTCTTTGGCATGTCTTGGTCGCAGTTTTCGATAAGGGCAGTTAAGTATATTAAATTAGAATGGCGTATTGGAACATGGCTCATAGTCCAATTAACTAAGCCTTTAAATCGAAATTTTGCCAACTTGGCTGAATTTTTGATATGAGTTAGTTTAAGGTACATTATAACAATAAGTGAGAGTAATTTTTTGTTCAACCCCCGGCCAAGGGTGGAAAAAGATAAAACAAAGGGCTTTTTCAAGATAACTCAAAAAGGGTAAGAGCTACATGAAAGTTGTAAAGCAGACAATTCTACATAAAAATGGTCTCTTAGCTTTTTCTTGTACTATTAAAATTAACAGAGTTAGGGAGGCTAGAAGTTAAGGGAAGATTTCAGAAATTTAATTTTGTTAAATCATTAAAATTAACGATTAAAAATTTGATTTTTTGTTATAACTTTCTTATTAAAAATTAAAAAATATATCTATTTCTCTGAAAAGAAAAGTTACATATTTTAGAGCAGATTGAAAAAAAAAATTACAAAATTCAATCATTTTTCTGTTTGTTATGATTTTTTTTAAATTTCTGAAATCTTCCCTTAACTTCTAGCCTCCCTAACTCTGTTAATTGTAATAGTACAAGAAAAAGTTAAGAGGCCATTTTTATGTAGAATTGTCTGCTTTACAACTTTCATGAAAAACTTTTTTTTCTAGCTCTTACCCTTTTTGAGTTATCTTGAAAAAGCCCTTTGTTTTATCTTTTTCCACCCTTGGCCGGGGGTTGAACAAAAAATTACTCTCACTTATTGTTATAATATACCTTAAACTAACTCATATCAAAAATTCAGCCAAGTTGGCAAAATTTCGATTTAAAGGCTTAGTTAATTGGACTATCAATTCTTTATAAGAATCACATAAATTATACTTTTCAAAACTTTCCATTATCTGATAATTATTAGAATAAATTTATTTGACACAAATAGCTGTTTTAAGAACGTTTTGACACATCAAATAATTATTTGTTTATTTTTGCTAACAGCAGCGGCAAGCATAGCCCCATTTGTCCAAAACATAATATTCGCCTGTGTTATGAGAAAGCTTTATAAGTTGATTGAATTGGTAAAAATAAATTTCTACCACCTTTCATAGCAGAAAATTGTTAAAAAATAAAAGATGAGTTATAATGAAAGTTTCCGGAAACGATAGATTGCTATAAAAATTGCTTATATTTTGACTTTGTGTAACTAAAGTTGGTAAATTGTGGTAATTGTGATTTTGTGTATATTTGAATGTATTTTATGCTTCTTTTACGAATTACCTATTTACTTGAAAATATATATTTATATTCCTACTGCCTTTAGTAAAATGAAAATTTCAAAAAATGGGAGTATATAATAATAATAATAACTAACTTTTCATTACTTTGTATAAATAAAGTTGGTAATTTGTTTATTATTATTTTTTATAATAATTACGTACATTCAGAACTTAAATTCCTAGACATAGGTAACTGCAAATTTAAATAATATAATTAACATTAATGAAGGTTATAGGTTTTTTTAATAACACTATATCTATGATTATTTTTCTTACTATTTATAACATTAAAGGTAATTGTACAATTTTTGATGACCATTTCAGTAAATTAAGAGGAACTGCTTTTGCAGCTTGCGCAATTTCCGGTGGAGTGCACGAAAGTTCACTAATTCCATCGACTTCCATGGGAAGACATTTATATTGTACGAGAACGATCGTAAAATGACGTGCTGATCACAAAATTGTAGACATCTGTCAAATACCCCTCAACGTTTACTTGTCAAAAGT